TTTTTTTTTCACTTTTTCTCTTTTTTCTTTTTTTTGTTTTCTTTTTCTTCTGGTACTTCATTTTAATTTGGTCTTTCGTATAGACGTTTTCCGAAATCTTACCTGTGTTTAAACTGTCAGTGGGAATGAGGAGCTGTCGAGCCGTTTAGGGCTTTCAATATATTGATCAGTTCTCAGCTTAACAGACACCCTCTTAGCAAATATCAATGTTTAAAATGCATTGGTGAAACAGTTTTACAAAAGGGTAAACAAACTTAGGAGAAGCTGCCTTGTTTACAAATATTAACCAGCTTATAAGCTTTATTTTCTTAAACTAATTAAGTAACAGGTATGTGAAAAATCCTCTCGTAATGTAGTAAAAAATTTCTATTGTTTCTATCATATTGCACGCTTATTTTTTAATTAGGAAAAGAACATGAGATTGTTTTTGCTAGTATTGTTCGTCTGCAAAGCGAGTAGCTATTGCTATGGCATTTGGTGGGAGAATGAATGAAGGTTTCATATTCATATAAACTCTCCTAAATGCCTGTACATGTGATTCATGAGATTTGTGAAGAAAAATAACTGAGCATTACTGGGAACTGAACATTCTTTTACTAAGCAGGCTCAGTTTAAAGGTCACAACTTCAAGACGGTCACTGAACTTTGAGTGATGATGATGATGATGATGACGGTGCAAGGCGAAGGTTTAAGGAACAAAAGCTTTCGTAAATAACAGTGGGTTGATAACTAGGTGTGGCAGAAGAGAAAACCCACTTTACGAAACCAATTAGTAGAGGCTTTTTGATTATAAAGCTTTGAAGAGGGCTGCTTCAGCGGTTTGAAACTGATATGTTCTAGGCCAAGCTACCAATTATGATATTAAATGAGCATTATTTGGTAATGGACAGTGAGTGGGCGTTAGTTATACAGAATTTAACCTATTGCCTAACCGATTATTAAGTATTTAATAGTAAACGGTAAATGTTCTTCGTTCGATGAAATTTTTAGAAGTAATTGACAGAGGCTTATGAAATACTGGTCAAAGTATTGTAGCAATCAAAAACTTACTTCTTACAACTGCAGAATATGAATGAAAATTGGAAACTAAATTGTTGAAGTCAGTGTAGAGAGTAGTATCGTTGATGCACCATCGTTTGAACCGCATTTGTTGAATGGTGTAAAAAAAATTTGCTGATAAGCTTAGGGACAAGGGTTTTACTACCACTTTCACGTTGATCTTCAAACTGTTTTTTAGGTGCTTTATTATTATTTTTGGAATTGAGTTTAATCCTTTATGAAAAAAATGGTCTGGATTTAAAACATATCAAATTTTTTAGAGCATTTTTTTTGGCGTACGTTTCTACGTTAGTGGACTATCAAAACTGTCGATGTTGTTTTTTTTGTGGTTTATATTTCGAGAAGAAATTTGAAACTGAAACAAAATTACTGATTGTTGGAATGTTGGAATAAACTACAGAAGTTTTTCAATGTTTATAAATTATCAATCTAATAACTCATGTTA